ATTTAATGCAGAGTCACATTTGCTGGAACCATAATAAGGACGCAAAACAAGGCTTACAATCTGGCGACTAAGAATGGCGATGATAATATTGGTTTAAAATGTATGCATCCACAGAACATCTGGAACAAGATAGAATCAGTTGCTCATGCGGGGATCGTTTTATTCGCTGACTGTCGACAGATTCCAAATCTGAGAGTCGCCTATTGGTTCGTTAAATGCTATTTCAAGCTAGCATTACATTGGTGGTGGCAGCTTCATATGGACCAATCGGTCAGTGTTGGCTGACGGGGCTTGCTGGTGGTCGTCGAGACACTGGGGATCGCAGTTTGTACTCTTGCACCAAAAATACTTCCTATTATTTAATCACTTAATTAGTGAGTATTTACAAGACTTCTCGTTTAAGTATTATAGTTCCAAACTTCAGATGGCCTTGTTCACGCCTCTCAGCGGCCAACTTTAGCTCATGCTAACCTTCTTTAAGCAAAACGATTGGTAGGTTTTTTAATCCCAGTCAGAATTGATTACTGAGTCCTTTAGCTACCATAATAATCACTTGATTACGCTGAATACAAGGCTTAAATGAAATCTAGTTTGTGAAAATGAACCATATGGCAATGCAATTTAGAAGTGAGTGGTTTGAGGTTAGTGAAACGACTTCCCTAATCAGAGTTAGACATGCACACAAAAATGCACGTTGTTTAGAACACCGTGTTATAATCTAATTCTATGGGTCTTATTAAGTATGCCAAATAAGGCCCGATAGGTAGAGTTCAATTAGGTGGCACACCCAAAACACTCTTTCCAAAGGCATTCTACATTAAGAGAGCTTGCGTGTTTAGAATTCGCTAGCTTTAAGGCGCTTGCTTCAGACACTGAAATCTAGTTCTTTGCCACGTTTTGATCATTCAATATCACCCAAAAGTGGCTTCTATCCTCTGATATCCAACATAGGTAATCTCGTTTCATTAGTTTGCAACCATTCATTAATAATGGGACTTCAAATCATTAAGAGTAATAATAATGGGGTTTGGCCACCGTGTATTTCTATATATGCATGTCAGACCCAGATTAGGGATGTGGTTGTACTAACCTCAAACCAATCACTCTAAATTCTATCGTCATACGGTGCATTTTCTCGAGTTACATTCCATTTTAAGCTATTATTCAGAGTAACCAATTGATCGCTATAGTAACTGCCATCTGTCTTCTTCCCAAAGCGAAATGCCTAACCAGAGATTTCACCTACGTTTTTTATAGAAGCTATTTATTATGATCACAGTGATTGTGAAATCGGGATTGGGGTTTACGCAATGACAAAAGTTTTCAATAAAATACAGAAAGACATATGGTTTTTGTTGTTTGGGTAAAAACCAACGTATCTGTTGTTTTTTAAAACCTACACGTTCCAATTTTTCATATACAATATGCGATGAATTTAAGAAGTTAATATTTGCACTAAGGAGACCATTGTAAACACACATATCTTGTAGTTGGAAGAGAGCAATGTATTTATCAGTCGCCAATGGATTTGACGTGAATGTTTCATGGATGTGAGGGCTTACTTCCTGTAAGCTCATGCATGTTGATAAGTAGCTACTGAAGTCGCCCTACACGTAGGTACATGCAAAGGGTGAATCCGATATCATTTTGAGAAAGAGAATATTTACGATCGTCTCTTCTTGCTTCTTGACCTTAAAGTGGGAGGTACTTTGAGTGCCAAGGAAAAAAACCTAGACTGATAAATTGTCTTTTTACCGTCAAAGGTGAATCTCAAGATTAGACGAGTTCTTTTGAGTATATTGCAAACCTTATATCTTGCTCATAATATTACACTCTCCGCTCGTATTTGATTAAAGCAAGCAGAATCTAAAATTGGTGCCTTGGTATTTGGCCGATTACGAAGGGATACGCGATTACCAATGGCGCAAAATGACTTCCTCACGCCTGTCCCTGTAACATTTGCCGACAGGGATGCCCTAGACGTGTCGATATTTGTTTCGTTCGCTTTCTCCCTGGATTCAAACTTAATTGCACCTTGTGCAAATTTACTGTGCAAAGAATTCACAATGTTATGCTGTTGAAGCAAAATAAGTAAGGCTAATACATTAGGAGAACTATGGAGTTGTTATGCACTTAAATTCATGAATGACATGTGGTCTTGGAATTCGCGTTTGCTCTACTTGCCTAGGGCAAAGTCAACGTCCGAACCGATTTTGATTGTTCGAATTTAGCAGTCAACTTCCCAAGTGCCACCTGAGCATCCCATCTCAGAATAGGCAGTTTAAGAATGCCTGCGATTTTCCTAATGACAGCCACCGACATAGTCTTCCAATTTCATTTGTGTGGTTAAAGGAGGCAAATTAAATCGCAGTGATAATCAAGCCAACTGTGTGTCAAAGTTTTATCCGTGTAGATGAATTTCACATTACATAAGACGACAAAGCAAGGTGACTATAAAATGTTTCGATGAAGTCCGTAGCCTCCATCCTTCCACAAATGTTGGTCCAAAAGTTTTGGTCCAAGGACTCAGTGGAAAACTCCCTAATCTTAAGGTATTTTCTTAAGGCTTTTCAGTGGGATAATCACAAAGCCAGAACAGTGTTGAGGAAGTTCTTTTCATAAGTAAAAGTAGGATACTACTAGTACTACAGAAAAATTGTGGATTTGCTCACTCACAGCAGCCATTGCTTTTGCGACTCAAAGGCCACAAAATGGACAAAAGTATTGACCATCCCCTCAGAACATTGAAACTCTTGTCAACTGCCATGTATATACATCCCATACTGCTCGTGCTCCCACTTTATCACCACTGAAATCCTCAGTGTTCCCAGTGGATCATGTCCTCGTTCCTCCGGTTGAAATCGGGACAGGATCCTGGTCTTCGCACAAACACATCAGTTGACGACGACAGCTCTACGACTTGCACTGGCTGTAAAGTGCGCAGAAATGCACCACCGTTTGACCAGAAGACAGATAACTCGAGGAAGAAAGGATGTTTTGCATTGGTGCAGGATGCATTCCCACTAGCCATTTTGGACTCAATATATAGATTTACCCCATGTCAAATGGGGGTCTTTTGATCATTATTTCACAATTAGATGCTAAACAGGTCGCTTTTACCGTCGAAGCTCGCTTCTTTTTTAATTTAGATGAGAACACACACAAACGAATGGAAGCGGATTTTTTGTTCGTTGATGCCGATTTGTAAATGAATTATAAACCCGTTTAGAAAGCTCGACCCGAAGTTTGCTCTCCTTGGGGGAGCAATGAAGTTGTGATCGTGTCTCAGTTAAGAGTCAGCCCATCTACACTCGCAATTTGGCTATTTTCTCATAACCGCTAAAGCTAGCATTACCTCATTGAGGTAGACCCTCTTCAATAGGAGTTATTCCTATGAGAACGCTTTGGTTCCCGCATTCTCGATCACACTGAAAGTGTGCTGTCAAGTTGCGTCTGACTCTGACTTCCCACTCACTCTTCTTTCTGCTTCGTTAAGTCATCTAGGGTTAACATGGAGAACTCCATCTTGATTAGGTTGAAATTTTGCTGTAATCCGGGATTCTACGATAACGTGGAATCGGAGTTCTCAATCCTCAAGCTTAATACTTGATTTCAGACACTAAAAGGATTCTGGCATGAGAAAGTGGTACCTGCATCACCTCATGGGACCAAATAAGAACTCCACCTTTCTACCCCCTCGTCCAGTCGATTGTACTTCTTGTCCCGTTGATTGGTGATTTTACAACTGATTTAAGGAATTTCTTTCAGCATGCAGACCAATAATGGCTCACTAAATATCCTTGTTTGTTTCAGCATTTCCCAATGACGTGCTGCTATATATGTCCCTTCTAATAGTCTCAATATTTACACAGTCGAACTTCAGAAGGCAACGGTCATCTGAATACCCATAATATCCAAATCGAACGGACCACGCATGCAGTGCCTTCTCTAGAAGTCAAGGGCTCACTCAATTATCGAGTCAGCAACATTTAATCATCTCATTTAGCATGATGGATTATTAATAAGGTGTGAGGTTGGCGGCATAAGCGGATCGGAAGATACCTTCCAAAGTAAATAACCAAAAATGCATCTGCTAGCCCTATTTAAATGAACAAGACAATTTTGGCATCACCAGTTCTCTCTACATTCCAGTTTCTGCTAATGAGCTAAATCAAACACTTTAATGTCCTTCACGTAAACATGCACTCTCGTCTGTTATGCCTTAGTCACGTACAAAATCGGTTTTGTCCAATTGCAAGTTTATGTTAAGCCCAAATGTCCACCAGCTCCAATCGCTATTTAGTGGAACAACTTTAGGCTCCAGTACCATGCAGTAATCACCCAAAGTTGCTATGATATTTAAAGAAGAAAAGGAGACTAACTCCAGGTCAAGCTTCACTTTAAGTGGATCAGCAGTAATGGAGGAGAAGTTGAACTTACAAGTACGGATTTAAGTTCGATTGTGTTCACCACTTAACAAATAATAGGAAGAGGTGCATCTCAAAACGCCAACATATCGCAGAGGTGCCTGTCCCCTTACTTCAATTACTTCAAGCGGTTGAAAATGTGGAAAGCTAGTTCAAAGGTGACATAGCTTATTCGCAACTTGGCTAATTCCCCCTAATATAGACAAATATTTTTTAAGCTTGGCATTCAGTGACATGCATATGAAAAATGAATGTGGAAGGGAGTTGGTTAAGCGTCACAGTGAATATAGAGGTAAGGCGAAATGTGCAAAATCACGTAACTGAAGCCTTGCTCCCACTACGTGCCGGGTACCTAGACATTGCAAAACACCACTGCCATCTAGCCAATCGGCAGAGCCTATCGACGAAATAAGATAGTCAAGAGCTTCTTCAAAGTGTTTGTTGAGAAATTCAAAGATCCTAAAAGCAACATGTGGGAAATAGGCTGTGTGATTGTGGGAGTATAAATATGAATAATCCCGTTTCCGTGGTATCACTGAGAAGCACTGCAACAGAATGCGGTTATGGCACTATAAGGTAAAAAGCCGTACTTTGAGCATAATTGGGTAAGCATATCGCACCAGTCCATAGTATCGAGTGAGTGAAATCGATGTGAGAAAGGATTCTCTACTGCTACTAGGAGATTGTAAGCATGACAGATGTCCATTCCATCAGGACGGCAGCCAAACCTATGCAGATTGAGAGGCTCGTGTGCCTTAACATACACTTAAAATGTGGTGGATGTGTTCAACGGAGCGACATTGTCATTCACCGGGTAGAATCTTTGCATCTGGCAAAGGGTTATTTCAAATAGGACGATCCGAATATAATGATGTGAATGCGTGGCAATTCTACAAAATAGGGGTTTTAAGCCATTCCGAACTCAATTCCATTTCCTTCAGTACCTTCTCAGAAATGAGCGCAGGAGCGGTGGGAAAAGAATGTTGTTTTTTTTGGTGTGGCTTAGGGTAGATTTTATTTGATCATAATGAAATTTGGGGCTCAATTCTGTTTTGTTTTTGTCGTGGAAAAGGAAATTGTCCTTTGACTTTAGTTCTCGCCGTGGACATACAGAAGCCCACAGGCATCTCCACCCTGATAATCCAGTAAAACGGCTACAGTCATTAATTTGCGCAACCAGTTTATGCCCATAATTAATTTTTATGAAAACGAACATCAAGTTGGGGTTTTGGATTGAGGCAGAGGCTAAAAGCTGACCCACTTTTTCTTAATTTATCCTCATATATCAAGAACTGCCCAAATTAAAATTGACTTAATACGTGAAAACCACCTAGATTTTAAGGGTTTGCAACTCAATATATTGCAGCCTAGCGATGGATTGGCGAAGCCTATCTAACAGTGATTTGGCTTAATACTAATTCGCACGCTGCTAACTTCTGTATAATGAGTAAGGCACATACAAAACCACCAATTCCTCATAATCATTTTCTTCAAGTTTGACTGAAGAGAAACAGCAGTATCATTGAACAAGATGGGCACAAAAGAGCAACTTTTCTTTCTCGAGTAAACTGATTATTGTCGCATAAGCTGCATCATCATGATGAGAAGAGCGTATGCTCCCAACTATAACGTAACAACGGACATGATCTGTAGAAATGTGCTACCAAAACCAAAAATATTGTCGTTTAAAGTAGCCAATGTGTTCTTGCAAAGTGCAAGACTGTTTTGGCCACAAGCAGGTAAAACAGCATGCGGCCTTCAGATGATGACTACAAGTAACATTTTACCATGTTAGTGAATGCTAGCATCAGAAATCAATGACAGGAGGCATTTAAAGTCAGGCGTCATAGTCGCACAGCCGAAATGGAATGAGTCAGTAGGTATGAGGTGAGATATTCCATCTTCAAATGCATCTCATTGTACATCACTCGCACTTCGAGTGGTCCTCCATTGGGAATTGCGCTAAATTGCCACCAAAGTGAGCACTGAGCCAGTTGTAGGGCACAGTGGATGCAATCAAAAGAATGGAAGTCTTGACTGCGTATTGGATCCCTTCAGCTAATTGCCATCCCACCATCCCTCCAAGCGAAGCGACAATCGGGAGGTACATAGCAATCGCTAGAATCAGTTGCTCATGCGGGGATCGTTTTATTCGCTGACTGTCGACAGATTCCAAATCTGAGAGTCGCCTATTGGTTCGTTAAATGCTATTTCAAGCTAGCATTACATTGGTGGTGGCAGCTTCATATGGACCAATCGGTCAGTGTTGGCTGACGGGGCTTGCTGGTGGTCGTCGAGACACTGGGGATCGCAGTTTGTACTCTTGCACCAAAAATACTTCCTATTATTTAATCACTTAATTAGTGAGTATTTACAAGACTTCTCGTTTAAGTATTATAGTTCCAAACTTCAGATGGCCTTGTTCACGCCTCTCAGCGGCCAACTTTAGCTCATGCTAACCTTCTTTAAGCAAAACGATTGGTAGGTTTTTTAATCCCAGTCAGAATTGATTACTGAGTCCTTTAGCTACCATAATAATCACTTGATTACGCTGAATACAAGGCTTAAATGAAATCTAGTTTGTGAAAATGAACCATATGGCAATGCAATTTAGAAGTGAGTGGTTTGAGGTTAGTGAAACGACTTCCCTAATCAGAGTTAGACATGCACACAAAAATGCACGTTGTTTAGAACACCGTGTTATAATCTAATTCTATGGGTCTTATTAAGTATGCCAAATAAGGCCCGATAGGTAGAGTTCAATTAGGTGGCACACCCAAAACACTCTTTCCAAAGGCATTCTACATTAAGAGAGCTTGCGTGTTTAGAATTCGCTAGCTTTAAGGCGCTTGCTTCAGACACTGAAATCTAGTTCTTTGCCACGTTTTGATCATTCAATATCACCCAAAAGTGGCTTCTATCCTCTGATATCCAACATAGGTAATCTCGTTTCATTAGTTTGCAACCATTCATTAATAATGGGACTTCAAATCATTAAGAGTAATAATAATGGGGTTTGGCCACCGTGTATTTCTATATATGCATGTCAGACCCAGATTAGGGATGTGGTTGTACTAACCTCAAACCAATCACTCTAAATTCTATCGTCATACGGTGCATTTTCTCGAGTTACATTCCATTTTAAGCTATTATTCAGAGTAACCAATTGATCGCTATAGTAACTGCCATCTGTCTTCTTCCCAAAGCGAAATGCCTAACCAGAGATTTCACCTACGTTTTTTATAGAAGCTATTTATTATGATCACAGTGATTGTGAAATCGGGATTGGGGTTTACGCAATGACAAAAGTTTTCAATAAAATACAGAAAGACATATGGTTTTTGTTGTTTGGGTAAAAACCAACGTATCTGTTGTTTTTTAAAACCTACACGTTCCAATTTTTCATATACAATATGCGATGAATTTAAGAAGTTAATATTTGCACTAAGGAGACCATTGTAAACACACATATCTTGTAGTTGGAAGAGAGCAATGTATTTATCAGTCGCCAATGGATTTGACGTGAATGTTTCATGGATGTGAGGGCTTACTTCCTGTAAGCTCATGCATGTTGATAAGTAGCTACTGAAGTCGCCCTACACGTAGGTACATGCAAAGGGTGAATCCGATATCATTTTGAGAAAGAGAATATTTACGATCGTCTCTTCTTGCTTCTTGACCTTAAAGTGGGAGGTACTTTGAGTGCCAAGGAAAAAAACCTAGACTGATAAATTGTCTTTTTACCGTCAAAGGTGAATCTCAAGATTAGACGAGTTCTTTTGAGTATATTGCAAACCTTATATCTTGCTCATAATATTACACTCTCCGCTCGTATTTGATTAAAGCAAGCAGAATCTAAAATTGGTGCCTTGGTATTTGGCCGATTACGAAGGGATACGCGATTACCAATGGCGCAAAATGACTTCCTCACGCCTGTCCCTGTAACATTTGCCGACAGGGATGCCCTAGACGTGTCGATATTTGTTTCGTTCGCTTTCTCCCTGGATTCAAACTTAATTGCACCTTGTGCAAATTTACTGTGCAAAGAATTCACAATGTTATGCTGTTGAAGCAAAATAAGTAAGGCTAATACATTAGGAGAACTATGGAGTTGTTATGCACTTAAATTCATGAATGACATGTGGTCTTGGAATTCGCGTTTGCTCTACTTGCCTAGGGCAAAGTCAACGTCCGAACCGATTTTGATTGTTCGAATTTAGCAGTCAACTTCCCAAGTGCCACCTGAGCATCCCATCTCAGAATAGGCAGTTTAAGAATGCCTGCGATTTTCCTAATGACAGCCACCGACATAGTCTTCCAATTTCATTTGTGTGGTTAAAGGAGGCAAATTAAATCGCAGTGATAATCAAGCCAACTGTGTGTCAAAGTTTTATCCGTGTAGATGAATTTCACATTACATAAGACGACAAAGCAAGGTGACTATAAAATGTTTCGATGAAGTCCGTAGCCTCCATCCTTCCACAAATGTTGGTCCAAAAGTTTTGGTCCAAGGACTCAGTGGAAAACTCCCTAATCTTAAGGTATTTTCTTAAGGCTTTTCAGTGGGATAATCACAAAGCCAGAACAGTGTTGAGGAAGTTCTTTTCATAAGTAAAAGTAGGATACTACTAGTACTACAGAAAAATTGTGGATTTGCTCACTCACAGCAGCCATTGCTTTTGCGACTCAAAGGCCACAAAATGGACAAAAGTATTGACCATCCCCTCAGAACATTGAAACTCTTGTCAACTGCCATGTATATACATCCCATACTGCTCGTGCTCCCACTTTATCACCACTGAAATCCTCAGTGTTCCCAGTGGATCATGTCCTCGTTCCTCCGGTTGAAATCGGGACAGGATCCTGGTCTTCGCACAAACACATCAGTTGACGACGACAGCTCTACGACTTGCACTGGCTGTAAAGTGCGCAGAAATGCACCACCGTTTGACCAGAAGACAGATAACTCGAGGAAGAAAGGATGTTTTGCATTGGTGCAGGATGCATTCCCACTAGCCATTTTGGACTCAATATATAGATTTACCCCATGTCAAATGGGGGTCTTTTGATCATTATTTCACAATTAGATGCTAAACAGGTCGCTTTTACCGTCGAAGCTCGCTTCTTTTTTAATTTAGATGAGAACACACACAAACGAATGGAAGCGGATTTTTTGTTCGTTGATGCCGATTTGTAAATGAATTATAAACCCGTTTAGAAAGCTCGACCCGAAGTTTGCTCTCCTTGGGGGAGCAATGAAGTTGTGATCGTGTCTCAGTTAAGAGTCAGCCCATCTACACTCGCAATTTGGCTATTTTCTCATAACCGCTAAAGCTAGCATTACCTCATTGAGGTAGACCCTCTTCAATAGGAGTTATTCCTATGAGAACGCTTTGGTTCCCGCATTCTCGATCACACTGAAAGTGTGCTGTCAAGTTGCGTCTGACTCTGACTTCCCACTCACTCTTCTTTCTGCTTCGTTAAGTCATCTAGGGTTAACATGGAGAACTCCATCTTGATTAGGTTGAAATTTTGCTGTAATCCGGGATTCTACGATAACGTGGAATCGGAGTTCTCAATCCTCAAGCTTAATACTTGATTTCAGACACTAAAAGGATTCTGGCATGAGAAAGTGGTACCTGCATCACCTCATGGGACCAAATAAGAACTCCACCTTTCTACCCCCTCGTCCAGTCGATTGTACTTCTTGTCCCGTTGATTGGTGATTTTACAACTGATTTAAGGAATTTCTTTCAGCATGCAGACCAATAATGGCTCACTAAATATCCTTGTTTGTTTCAGCATTTCCCAATGACGTGCTGCTATATATGTCCCTTCTAATAGTCTCAATATTTACACAGTCGAACTTCAGAAGGCAACGGTCATCTGAATACCCATAATATCCAAATCGAACGGACCACGCATGCAGTGCCTTCTCTAGAAGTCAAGGGCTCACTCAATTATCGAGTCAGCAACATTTAATCATCTCATTTAGCATGATGGATTATTAATAAGGTGTGAGGTTGGCGGCATAAGCGGATCGGAAGATACCTTCCAAAGTAAATAACCAAAAATGCATCTGCTAGCCCTATTTAAATGAACAAGACAATTTTGGCATCACCAGTTCTCTCTACATTCCAGTTTCTGCTAATGAGCTAAATCAAACACTTTAATGTCCTTCACGTAAACATGCACTCTCGTCTGTTATGCCTTAGTCACGTACAAAATCGGTTTTGTCCAATTGCAAGTTTATGTTAAGCCCAAATGTCCACCAGCTCCAATCGCTATTTAGTGGAACAACTTTAGGCTCCAGTACCATGCAGTAATCACCCAAAGTTGCTATGATATTTAAAGAAGAAAAGGAGACTAACTCCAGGTCAAGCTTCACTTTAAGTGGATCAGCAGTAATGGAGGAGAAGTTGAACTTACAAGTACGGATTTAAGTTCGATTGTGTTCACCACTTAACAAATAATAGGAAGAGGTGCATCTCAAAACGCCAACATATCGCAGAGGTGCCTGTCCCCTTACTTCAATTACTTCAAGCGGTTGAAAATGTGGAAAGCTAGTTCAAAGGTGACATAGCTTATTCGCAACTTGGCTAATTCCCCCTAATATAGACAAATATTTTTTAAGCTTGGCATTCAGTGACATGCATATGAAAAATGAATGTGGAAGGGAGTTGGTTAAGCGTCACAGTGAATATAGAGGTAAGGCGAAATGTGCAAAATCACGTAACTGAAGCCTTGCTCCCACTACGTGCCGGGTACCTAGACATTGCAAAACACCACTGCCATCTAGCCAATCGGCAGAGCCTATCGACGAAATAAGATAGTCAAGAGCTTCTTCAAAGTGTTTGTTGAGAAATTCAAAGATCCTAAAAGCAACATGTGGGAAATAGGCTGTGTGATTGTGGGAGTATAAATATGAATAATCCCGTTTCCGTGGTATCACTGAGAAGCACTGCAACAGAATGCGGTTATGGCACTATAAGGTAAAAAGCCGTACTTTGAGCATAATTGGGTAAGCATATCGCACCAGTCCATAGTATCGAGTGAGTGAAATCGATGTGAGAAAGGATTCTCTACTGCTACTAGGAGATTGTAAGCATGACAGATGTCCATTCCATCAGGACGGCAGCCAAACCTATGCAGATTGAGAGGCTCGTGTGCCTTAACATACACTTAAAATGTGGTGGATGTGTTCAACGGAGCGACATTGTCATTCACCGGGTAGAATCTTTGCATCTGGCAAAGGGTTATTTCAAATAGGACGATCCGAATATAATGATGTGAATGCGTGGCAATTCTACAAAATAGGGGTTTTAAGCCATTCCGAACTCAATTCCATTTCCTTCAGTACCTTCTCAGAAATGAGCGCAGGAGCGGTGGGAAAAGAATGTTGTTTTTTTTGGTGTGGCTTAGGGTAGATTTTATTTGATCATAATGAAATTTGGGGCTCAATTCTGTTTTGTTTTTGTCGTGGAAAAGGAAATTGTCCTTTGACTTTAGTTCTCGCCGTGGACATACAGAAGCCCACAGGCATCTCCACCCTGATAATCCAGTAAAACGGCTACAGTCATTAATTTGCGCAACCAGTTTATGCCCATAATTAATTTTTATGAAAACGAACATCAAGTTGGGGTTTTGGATTGAGGCAGAGGCTAAAAGCTGACCCACTTTTTCTTAATTTATCCTCATATATCAAGAACTGCCCAAATTAAAATTGACTTAATACGTGAAAACCACCTAGATTTTAAGGGTTTGCAACTCAATATATTGCAGCCTAGCGATGGATTGGCGAAGCCTATCTAACAGTGATTTGGCTTAATACTAATTCGCACGCTGCTAACTTCTGTATAATGAGTAAGGCACATACAAAACCACCAATTCCTCATAATCATTTTCTTCAAGTTTGACTGAAGAGAAACAGCAGTATCATTGAACAAGATGGGCACAAAAGAGCAACTTTTCTTTCTCGAGTAAACTGATTATTGTCGCATAAGCTGCATCATCATGATGAGAAGAGCGTATGCTCCCAACTATAACGTAACAACGGACATGATCTGTAGAAATGTGCTACCAAAACCAAAAATATTGTCGTTTAAAGTAGCCAATGTGTTCTTGCAAAGTGCAAGACTGTTTTGGCCACAAGCAGGTAAAACAGCATGCGGCCTTCAGATGATGACTACAAGTAACATTTTACCATGTTAGTGAATGCTAGCATCAGAAATCAATGACAGGAGGCATTTAAAGTCAGGCGTCATAGTCGCACAGCCGAAATGGAATGAGTCAGTAGGTATGAGGTGAGATATTCCATCTTCAAATGCATCTCATTGTACATCACTCGCACTTCGAGTGGTCCTCCATTGGGAATTGCGCTAAATTGCCACCAAAGTGAGCACTGAGCCAGTTGTAGGGCACAGTGGATGCAATCAAAAGAATGGAAGTCTTGACTGCGTATTGGATCCCTTCAGCTAATTGCCATCCCACCATCCCTCCAAGCGAAGCGACAATCGGGAGGTACATAGCAATCGC